ACACTAGTTCGGAGAGAAACTTCAAGGGAATAGGGAGTACAGCCAGGACCCGTGAAGGATGCTGTGTGGAACACAGGGCAAGTAACACTCTAGAATGTGGAAGGAAAGCAATACCAATTTACACCTGCGCAGCCTCTTATCTTTTTCAAAGGCCACTACAAGTGCAAACAAATCCAGAGTTGGTGGATAAGAGAGAGAGAAGGAAGGGACTGGTGGCCCTAAGTACGGAGAAAATCACCAAAGACCATTAGGATGGAAAGAGGGCTGTCACTGGGATGGGTGTGGGCGGTGGGGAACATACATGAAAGGAAAAGATTATTGAAGGTAATCCAGAAAGAGGAGGCAGAAATGAAGAGTGTAGGAGAGCAGTAGTGGGTAAGACAGCGGCGGGGTGGGGGGTGGAGGGTGAGTTTGAGGCGGGGGCAGGGAGGAGTAGAAAGAGATGGAACTGTCGTCATTGAATAAGGAAATGAGGGGAGCGAAGTCACAGAGAAAGGAAGTCTGCAGGACAGACTTGGTGGCTGAAGAAGAGGTCGAATTTGTGGGACGGCAGATCTACAGGACAAGAGCAGGCAGGTAGGGAGAGGTTGTAGTTCTGAGGGAAGAATTTCCGCGAGAGGAGTCAGTCGCAGGGACGCCACACCTCACGGACAGGGACGGGCCGAGGGCGACGTTGTGGACTTCATCTCGTTCCCGGCCTTGCGCCATGGCCCAGATATTTCTCAGCCGGCCAGGGGCAGCCAACACCTGACCCAGGCCAGGGTCTGCAACGGTTACGCTGAGGTCCCTGGCTGCTGGGCTGGCAGAGCCGCCACTGTTTACACCGTATCCGGGATACCGTAACTCCTGCGCCCATTGGCTCTGCCCTTTCAGCAGCTCTCTTTTGAGCCAAGCGGATTGGTGGGAGCGCTGAGCTATCTCAACCAATGGAAGAGCGGAGGACGAAACGAGGGGCTGACCCTAGGGTGGGTGCTGGAGTGATCCAGCCTCGGACAAGCAATTACACAAATAATAAGTAGCAACAGCAGGCTTTAATATTGAGTGCTGACCGTGCCAGACGTTGTTCCAAGAGAGGTTCAGATATTATTTCATTAATATTCAAGTCCTCTATCAGACCCATTTTGTAGAAAAGGAAAGCAGGATAAGAGAAGTAATTGCCCAAGACTACAAAACTGAGAGGGACTTAAAGACAGAGTGAGTCTAAAACTAGAGCTTCAAGCCTTTGATTACTAATTACATACTCTAATATACCCTCCATTATTTCAAGGAGGCATAGAGCTTCTGGAAGTAATCGATCAAAAGATCCGCAGTCTGTCCTCGCTTCCTCCCTTAGCTCTCTTGCGAGCCCGCCCGCCCGCCATTACTTCTGCACTCCCTCCCTCCCTTCTGGTCCTCTTTCTTCTTTTCTTTATGTCTTGTCTTCTCATCTTGTCACCTTCTCGTCTTCATTTCATTCGCAAATATTAATATTTACTGAGTATTACTGTGCATTGTGCTAGTCGCTTGGAACAAAATAGTGAGCGAACCAGGTACAGTTCCTTTCTTTGTGGAACTTAGAAGAACTTCCTTCTTGGTGGGGCCCAGCGAGTGAGGAATAGACATCCGTTTCATTACATAAAGGTAGAATGGTAGATTGAATTAAGAAGAAACGGGAAACGATATTACGAGGTCTTATGGTGTAATTCTCTCCTGGTTGGATGGGCAGTGCTAGAGCTGATTGCTGTGTGCATGTGCTGTTTTCACTGAGATTTAAAGGATAAAGAGTGATTGCTGAGGGGCAGGGGATGGGGAAGGAACAGAGGACAGTGTTTTGTTTTTTTTTTTTTTAAGTATCAAGGCAGGACAACAGATGGTAAGAACTGGGAAGTCAGTGTTATTGAAGTAGAGGAAGGTCAGTAGAAAACACTGAAGGCTGGAGAAGGAGCAAGGGCCAGGTAAAGGCCAAGTTGTGAATTCTGGTCTTTATCCCAAGAGCCAGGGAAAGACATTAAACGGGTTTAAATAGAGGAATGACAAGATAAGATTTATATCTATAAAAGATCATTCTGGCTTGAGGATTATCAGTTGGGTAGGAGAGTGGGGAGAATAGAAATAGGAAGATCTGTTAGGAATTGATTTCATGATTCTAATGAGGGAAGCAAAGCCGGGTTGTCAAGCTGAGCACTACTGGCACCTGGGACTGGCTTTGGGGGTAAGTCTCACTGCAGGATGTTTAGCAGCATCCGTGTTAGTAGCACCTCCACTGTTGTGACAGTCAAAAATGTCTATGGGGACTTCCCTGGTGACTCAATGGTAAAGAATCTGCCTGCCAATGCAAGAGAAATGGGTTTGATCCCTTATCAGGGAAGATCCCACATGCTTCAGAGCAACTAAGCCAGGGAGCAGCGACTACTGAGCCCATGTGTGGCAATTACTGAAGCCTCAGCACCTTGGAGCATGAGCTCTACAACAGAAGCCACCACAATGAGAAGCCTGTGTGCTGAAACTAGAGAGCAGCCCCCACTTGTTGCAACTAGAGGAAAGCCTGCACAGCAACAAAGATCCAGCACAGCCAAAAATAAGTAAGTAAGATAACTTTTAAAAATGTCTGTGGATATTGTCAAATGTTCCTTTTGTGTGGGGGGGGGGGTGCATAATCGCGCCCAGTTGAAAGCCATTGATGAGGCAATGTGTTAAAAATATGTTAAAGGTAAAAACCTATATCAGGACTTCCCTGGTGGTCCAGTGAAGAAGACTCTGTGTTCCTAGTGCAAGTGGCCTGGGTTTGATCCCTAGTCAGGGAACTAAACCCCACATTCTGCATCTAAGAGTTTGTAAGCCACAACTAAAGATCCTACATGGCACAGTGAAGATCAACAATCCCGCATGTTGCAACTGAGACCTGGAACTGCCAAATAAATAAATAAATATTAAAAAAAAAAAAAAACCAGCAACAACTGTGGGCTTTGGTGATGGATTGATAAAGAGGGGTAAGAGAGAAGCAAGAATCCAGGATGTTCCTGGGTGTCTGATTATCACAATCAGAGATGGTGATGCACTTTGCTGACGTGGGGTAAAGAAGTGGAGCTACGTATTTCTGACCTGAAGAATTTCTTTGCTGAAATGTGAGTGCCAAACACAGGTGGTGCTTGGTGTTAAGGGTCTGTACTGGCTGGCTGACAAAATCCTACATTGCTGAGTCACAGAGAGAAGTGGCTTGGACAACAGTCAAACTTTCTTCTCAAGTACTTCTTAAGCTCTGGGTAGTTTCTGTTGCCACTCCCTCACTAGTTGACTTATTTGTGTTTCCATCAAGCCCTCCCTGCACCCCCACCCCACCCCCAGAAAACACAATATTCTTTTAACTACAACTTGAGCATTTTAAAGCCATCGCTAGAAAAGAAGGTGAGGAGGCAAATCTTGCTCCTGCTCCCAGAGAAAATGGTAGGTAGATGATAGAAGGTGAGCAAGAAGTGTGAACTCTAGGAAAGGGATACTGATCTAGGCTGGAATCAGCCATGACCTGGGAAGCCGAACTTGCTCTGTGCTAGAGAAAAGGAGAAACTGAACAAAATCAAATTGAAAAAGCAGTGGGAAAGCATGTCTTACTCTCTGCAATCTGACTGGGTTTTAGATGAAAATGGAGGTTTATAACTGGGTTTCTGGGGAATATCTGTGGCTGGTATTCAGGTGGAGATGCCCTGACCTCTACACCGTGCAGATTACAGGAAGAAGAGTGCTCTTTCTTTCTTAGTCTGTAAGGTGAAAGACAGACTATCCCAGAAAATGGACTTGGAGGGACAATTGAGGAAAACAGGTGAGGTCTCACTGTGAACGATTTTTGATATTAGAAATAAAATCTAAGACCCACACAATTTTTTTTATCTAATCAGGGATGCAAGGAGCAGCCCTGAACTTCCAAAGATGATATTCAGTGTGTTTCACTATTTTTAGGAAGCGTGCAATCCTCCTAAACCCACTTTACCTCTCTCAACTTTCTTTCCTTGCAAATCTCCAGCCCATCATCAGTAGACCAGTCCTGGACAGATTAAGCCTAATCCTCAGCTTGAGGTTTTATCCCTTTGTAGATCTCAGCTTGTCTTAAAGGCCAAAAGAGCAATGGTCTATTCGAGTTTATTGAGCTCTAAAACCCAAAACCTGTCCAGGACCATCCACAGGAAAACAAAACAACCTCAAAGGACATTTATTTTCCATGAAGAATTCATCTCACTCCCAAATTCTCAGCTTTTCTTGGGTTGTAGCCAAGCTCTGTGATATCTGAAAGATGACTTTTCTCATCTTGCTAAAATGTTCACCCATGAAGTAGGTTTTCTAGGATCTGTAAACATGGAAAAAGATTATATAGCATATTGGAAATTACTCCATTTATTAAGTAAACGTATCAACGACCTTCTGTGTATTAGACAAGTATTTGCTTTTTGTGAAAGGCAATGTGTACAAGAAAATTGAGGAAGCAGCAAGTGAACATCACTTCTCTGGATAGAAAGATGTAAATAATGAAAGTTTTTACAGTAAAGGTAAGCAGTTGCAACAGAGAGTATCTACTTATTTTCCTGTAATTGATCCGTTTTATAGTAGTCATGATAATAAACCTCAATTTATTGAACTCCTACTATGTATTAAGAACTTAGTAAAAATCGAATCCTTCCAACAACCATACTGCAGAAGAAACAGACTCAGGGAGGGTGAGTTTAAGACTCCAGTTTTAACATGTACTGCAAAGGCGCCTGCAGTGGGAATGTTGGCTGTGATCTCGCTCCAGGCGCCCAGGCTGCGGTAGCCGGGCCTTCCTTGAAGAGGGTGGGGAATCCGGCCTGCGCGCTGGGTCGGGTCGCCCAGGGGCTTCTGTGCTCAGGTTTCCTTTCAGGGGCGGAGCAGCGCGGGTGCCTGTGCACACAGCCCAGGCTGGGCTGGCGGCTGTCCCAGCCTGGCACTTCTGAGAAAAACAGGGGAGGGGCGACCGACTTCCGGATTGGGAGCTCGGCCTGTGCTGCGCTGCAATGTCCGGCGGAATGGTCAGGAGCCTGGGGAAGGGTGAGGCTGCCCTCCGCGAGCTGCAGCGGGGATATGGGCGACCCTCGGCCGCGGGTCAGGGTGCGGCTGAGCCACCCGGGAAGGCACCCGTCCGGGGGCCGCAGCGCGCGGGACCTCTCCACCGCTGGGTTCGGGGGACAGCTGGAGGCTGGGGGTCCCTGCCACTCTCTGGGCTTTAACTGTGTCCGCTTCTCCCCGCAGGAAGCGCGCCCCCGGGGCCCGTCCCCGAGGGCCTGATCCGCGTCTACAGCATGAGGTTCTGTCCTTTCGCCAAGAGGACGCTCCTGGTCCTGAGGGCCAAGGGAATCCGGTGAGGACCGAGGAGGGGCTGCTCCCCGATTTGGCCATGAACCAGCTACTGAGGAAGGCCTCAGTGGGAAACTCGGGCAGGGTCCCTTTACTGCGAAATAAACTGTTCTCAGCCTTTCCGAGATAGAGGAACCAGGAGACCCTATCCCCGAGGTGGGGGCGGGGGGCCGATGCCACAGACTCCACCAGTCTGGGACATTCCCTTTAGATTAGCCATTTTATGGATCAGAAAAACTGCTGCTGCTGCTAAATCACTTTAGTCGTGTCCTACTCTGTGCGACCCCATAGACGGCAGCCCACCAGGCTCCTCTGTCCCTGGGATTCTCCAGGCAAGAACACTGGAGTGGGTTGCCATTTCCTTCTCCAATGCATGCATGCCTGCTAAGTTGCTTCAGTCGTGTCCGACTCTGTGCGACCCCATGGACAGTGATAGACCTCCAGTAAAGCTCGTGGTATGCAGAGATCACACCAACTGTACTCACAAGCAGTAGCTCTTTGAGCTCTGGCAGATCTCTGAGTCCTGTTACATTGCCCTATATCCCAGTCCAGAGTCCTGGCCTTGACACTCCTCTGGGTAGAGTGCCAAGTTAATTGTACTGTGCATATTTCTATAGTTTGGGTTATTGGTTGAAGCAAATAAAGTGTCTATGCCTAAAAACTCACGCTTTTGGGAAACCACACAGAAACTAGCAAGGTTACTACTGACATATGTGTTTCCACAAGAAATATGCAAGTCATTGGCTTTTCTCTGACACTGAAGAGCCACTGGAACCTTCTCCCTTACAGAGACCTTTGGAATCTGTTGAACAAACATTAGATACATGTGGTGTGGAAGTCTTAAGAGATAGTTCCCATTCCAAAGAAATTTCTACCTATGTGCTTAGAATTTATAAACTGCTTTTAGTCTAATGGGGGAGAATTAAGCAGGCAATTCCTTTTACCTAAAAAAGGTAAGATATATTCCAAAGGGGAAAAAAAAATGATTTATCAATTAATCATCACTTCAGTAAGATTTCCATCATATTCTGGGTGAAACTGATTCTGAACACAGCAAAATATTCAACATTTAGTAACATTTATCGAAACATTGTCTTATCCAAATATCATAATATTTACTGTATTAGTCAGAATCTCTTATTGCAATGAACAGATATCCAATTCAGTTGGCTTGAAAAAAGACATATCTTGTGCTCATACAATTGAAGAATCCAGGATCAGACTTTCCTGGTGGTCCTGCCAATGCAGGGGACATAGATTCGATCCTTGGTCCAGGAAGATTCCACATGCCTAAGGGCACCTAAGCCTAAGGTGCACCAAACTACTGAGCCCCCACTCTAGAGCCCATGCTGGGCAACAAGAGAAGACACTGCAATGAGAAGCCCATGCATCAAAACTAGAGTGTAACTGCCACTCTCCACAACTAGAGAAAGCCTTTGCACAGCAATGAAGACTCCATGCAGCCAAAAATTAAATTTTTTTAAAAAGAAAAATCCAGCATCAAGACACAGCTGGATTTGAGAGCACAAAGTCCTGGGTGAGTGCCCCTCTGGACTTCTAAGTTGAAAACAACCCTATCTTACTTACTGGCACAGTTTTCCAAAGGGAAATGGGATTGATTTACCATTAAAAATGTGTGTAAAGGGGGTGAAGGGTGGTAACAGTTGCCAGGCAGTGCAAACAACAGAGGTGTACTTTGTTCATGGATTAGTTTTTAGTCCCAGGGGACTTTGATCATGGTAGCTGACTTTACCATGGGGCTTCTCAGGTTCCACTAGTGGTAAAGAACCTGCCTGCCAATGTAAGAGACTTACAGATGCAGATTTGATCCCTTGGTCAGGAAGATCCTCTGGAGGAGGGCTTGGTAACCCACTCCATATTCTTGCCTGGAGAATCCCTATGGACAGAGAAGCCTGGCGGGCTACAGTCCTTAGGCTCGCAAAGAGTCAGACATGACTGAAGCAACTTAGCATGCATGCATGCAGACTGTACAGCATTATCAGTTCAGTTCAGTTGCTCAGTCATGTCCAACTTTGCGACCCCATGGACTGCAGCATGCCAGGCTTCCCTGTCCATCACTAACTCCCGGAGTCCACCCAAACCCATGTCCATGGAGTCGGTGATGCCATCCAACTATCTCATCCTCTGTCATCCCCTTCTCCTCCTGCCTTCGATCTTTCCCAGGATGAGGGTCTTTTCCAGTGGGTCAGTTGTTCACATCAGGTGGCCAGAGTACTGGAGTTTCAGCTTCAGCATCAGTCCTTCCAATGAATATTCGGGACTGATTTCCTTTAGGATGAACTGGTTGGCTCATTACAGAATCTACTAAAGCCTGGTTTTCTCTAAAAGGCACATCTTCCAACTTGTTGCAGCAGGTATGTTACCCTGTTAGCTCATCATGCCAGATTACCAAGATGCATATGTGTCCTGAGAACCTTCTTTATTACAAAAGCCCAGGATTTACCTTTCTTTTCATAGTATGAAATTTCAGAAATCTTGATAATTCCTTGCCAGAGAGCCTCATTATCCTTGCAGTGGCTTGTATATGAGTGTACAGTAATTTGTCAGCAGACAACCCACAAATGCTCCTATTCATTCTGGCTATTCCTTTCTTTCTATGGGAGAGAGGGATGGGATTGTCTATTTAATCCTCAAGCTAAATGATTTTGTAGCTACTCAGGTGGATGGGGATAAAGGAAACAAAAGATGTTGGGGTGTATTATTTCTGAGTAACTAATCTGTTCTATTGAACACTTATCCAGCTTTGACAATGATATGGACCTGAGACCTGACTTTAACAATTATATGAAACTTCCCTTCCTCTTATTTCCCCTAAATCTTTCAGGCAGGATAGAAATCAGATCTAAAAACAATCTTAATATAGTTCGGACTTCACCTGTTTCTTCTTTATGGGTTTATTTAGTGTAATTTAGTCATGTGCCATTTTAAAAAAATATCAATGCATGGAAATTTAATCTGAAAGCTTATCTTGTGGATGAATTTTTTGGATTCCTTAATATTCTTATAAAAAATTGATATTCTATTCAGATTAGCAAAAGAAACTGAATTTTATTAATACCATGTTGATTCTTATGTAGTGAGACATGAACAAACTCAATTAGTTGACTCAGATATTTTTACAATTAAGATACATCTTAGTTCCAAATGGAATATCTAATTGGCAGTCTTGAAGAATTTCCACTTATTTATTCAACCAATGTGTGTTGAGTACCTATCCGAAAATGTTTATATATTTCATACCATTTGAATCTATTTGAAACTTTGCTCCTTTTCATGTTTGTTTATGAATATGACCAAGATATCAAGCAGAGCACTGCTTTCATGGAGCTTACATTCTAAGGAGGTGACATAACAAATATGTAATTAAGTTAGCAAAGTAATTTCAGATGCATATCTTAAGTTCAGTGAAGAAAGTAATTCAAGAGATATAAAAAAGGCCAGTGTGGTCAGATCATAATGACCAAAGCAAAAGTCATAGGAAACAGATGTGACAGGTAACCCAGGGCCAGATCACATGGCATAAAAAGGGGTTCAGGATTTATCCACATTGCAGTGAGGAGCAATCACTGTAAATGAGCAGGAGGGTGGCCGCACCCAACTTACCTTTGTATGTGGGGAGCGGGGCCTTCCCAGGTGGCTCAGTGGTAGAGAATCCACCTGCCAATGTAGGAGATACTGGTTCAGTCCCTGTGTCTGGAAGATCCCCTGGAGAAGGAAAAGGTAACCCGCTCCAATATTCTTACCTGGGAAATCCCATGGTCAGTGGAGCCTGGTGGGCTACAGTCCATGGCCATGGGGTTGCAAGATTCTGACACGACTTGGTGACTGAGTACACATGCATGAGCAGAATGGCGGCCTGTAGGGAGGCCACAGGGCAAGCACAGGGCCCGGGGGGCCTACTGTAGAGATCCAGGCGGCAGGTGATGTCTTGGATGAGGTGGCAGTGTTAAAGCTGAGAAGCAGATAAAGTCAGACTGATTTGAAGGTAGGTATGGTAGGTATGATTTGAAGGTCTAGCTGACAGGTCTTGCTGATCCATGTGATTTGAGGAAGAGGGGACAGGGGGAAGGAATCAAGGCCATGTTGACTCCAAAATTTGGGGTCTGATCAGCTAAGTGGGTGATGGGACCAATGACATTTTATCCAGGAATACAAGAAAAATGTTACTGTCTTCTATGTGTTTTTCAGGCACGAAGTCATCAACATCAACTTGAAAAATAAGCCTGAGTGGTTCTTCAAGAAGAATCCCTCAGGCCTGGTGCCGGTCCTGGAAACCAGTCTGGGTCAGTTGATCTGTGAATCTGCCATCACTTGTGAGTACCTGGATGAAGCATATCCAGGGAAGAAGCTGTGGCCAGGGGACCCCTATGAGAAAGCTTGCCAAAAGATGGTCTTTGAGTCCTTTTCTAAGGTGCGTGTTTACGAAATTTCAGCTCCTATTTAAAATGTCTTTGTTTTTAAAGCTGAATCAGTGCTGTCACTCTTGGTTCAGTGATTTGGGAGGGAGAGACAAAGAGGATTATGCTCTTGCCGGCTCTGACATGTCCTATGCGCCCTTTCATGATCTGAATCCTTTTTACTTTCCTAACACTTTACATTCTTGTCATGCTGAAATTTTGCCCAGACTTGCTACCTTCTTCTCTAGTCTTTCTAGAAGACTCTTCCCCCTTCTCACTTTGCCTGGTTGTCTCAGGTTGTATGAGTGGGACTACAGAGGCTAAGGGCTGACTGTACTGTGCCGATTTATAGAAGGGGTTTGAGCATTCAGATTTTCCTATCGGTGGGAGGAGGGGGGTGGTGTCCTGGAACCCAACCCCCACCTCCACCCCCAGCAAACACTGAGGAACCACTGTACCTGTCCGGAGACTGCTGTCTTCCAGAAGCTTGTTAGTGCCCAGCTCTGTGCTCCCACAGGCGCTAACGTGCCTCTGTGGGGACTGCTGCCTTCTTGTAAGTGTGTTGTATGCCTGTGGGTTGTACCAGGGCTGTGAGCCTCTGAGGATGAGGGCTGTGTTTCCATTACTGCTGGCTCACTGCCTAGGCCTGTCACCAGCCCCGCCACTTCTTAGCTGTGTGACTGTAAGCAAGTTACTTATTATTTACCTCTGTACCTCAGCTCATGTGTAAAATGAGTATAATAAGTGTTCCTGTGCCACTGAAAAAAATCAGTTAATATACAACACCTGAAGTCCAATACATGGCAAATACTCAGTGTTAGATCTTATTCTTCTAGCCACCGTGTTTATCTGTGAGCATCTCCTGTTTGTTGGCAACAGCTCCAACTGTTGGACTGAGTAAATGGCATTCCTGTAGAAGAGCTTTCTGTGTTTGAATTAGCATCAGTATTAATTCAAACAATTAGATTAGCTCAAACAATTAGTATTAAAAAAGAAATGACCAACAGTAGACAATGTGAATAGCCACATCAGGTTATATCTATATAATATCTATAAAATTCTGTTAGTTCATCGGGATATATGTCAGCATAATAGGAAACATCTTGTCCCTAGGGAAAGAAATGGTGGAAAAAAATACCTAGAAAGTGAGACTTGTAGGGAGAACATATTGTTTAAGGAAACACTGAAAAGGGAAAAACCAGTGGGAAAGGAAGAGGAAGTTGGCTGGCTTAGCAGAATGAGAGTGAAAGAATACCAGAGATTGCCACTGTCAAAGATGATAGACAGGGAATATGGTGTTTACAAGAAAGATGTTGGAGAATTAAAGAATCATAATACTGAGATTCCTTGTACTGTCTAGAAAGAAAAGGAGCTAACAGCTGGAGATGCCCACTGTTTCTTCCCTGCTCACACTCAGAGAAGAGGTGGTCTTAAGTACCACATGACCCCATCCTCCTGACCACAAGCTCAACAAGCCAGAAATGCCCCTAGACCAATAATATTTTTCCTGAAAACTTGGGAATGAGACACAAACAAAGACAATAAAGGTGTTGAGATTTTGGAGCTGCATGTTTATATCATTGGAGACTTAACAAACCAAAGACACACAAGAAAAGAATTTTTAGGAAAGCAGAGGTTTATAACATTGCAAAGGGAACTGACATTTGGCAAATAATATGAAGCAGACAGTCAAAGAGAAGCAGAGATGAAAGACCATCTAGACCCAGGTGGAAATGTGGAAAGAACGGGTGCCTGCAAACCTTCAGTTCCAATGAAGGCAAGCTGTGCCAACACAGATAGGCTTTCTGGACATTCTCCTGTACTTTTACAAGGGCTTGTTTCCTTACACTGGGACAAGTGGATTTCTGTCTCTTGCAGTGAGACAATACTAAAGACAGAGCATTAAAACACGAACACCTCCACCACAAACATTAAAGCATCTGCTGCTATACCTGTCAAGTCTTCAGGTTGTCAACCATTTTGAGCTGTCTTCTCATGCTTGTCCCAAGGTAGAGATCAGGAAAATCTCCTTCCTAGCTCTCTCTGCAACTGGGGCCAAAGCCTGGGACCTAGGCTCTTTCCCTCACATGCACACATTTTAGGGTTCAGTTCAGAAATGAGACACATGGAGAAGTAGGCTTGGGGTGGGGCACTGGTTCTGCTGATGAGAGTGGCTGGTGGCAGAGCTCCTGGTTTTCAGGAGCTGGGGTGATGGCGAGATTCAATTCCAGCCTGGCATCGGTAACCTCATAGTCCAGCGTCTGGCAGGGGCACAAACCATAGCATCGAGTGCTCAGTTCACTGGTGGCAAAGAGTGCTTCCCATCAGGTCAGTTTCCAGTATGGTTTTGGAATGGTCCAGTTCAGTTCCAGACCTATTTGTTCAGCCTCTCAACAATCCAATGAGCAACAATTCTATCAGTGTCCTTTTAAGATATGTTTGACTCAAACTCAACAAGATGGCTTCTCCTAATCACTGCTTATAAAATCTTGACTCTTACAGCATCTTAGGCCACAAAACTGTTTTTAAGATAAGTACCCGACCTCTGTGAGTACAGAAACCAAAGTTTCTAGAACACTCTGACTCTGGGACTATAAGGGTTCTGGTGGTGTTTTATATGAAGGGGCTGATATGGTTAGCTTCACACTGATAAACTAAGAAATTATTCTCTGTCTAGGTGCCATCTTTGATGATAAGTTTTCTTAGAACACAAAATAAGGAAGATTGCTCTGGCCTAAAAGAAGAACTGCATAAAGAATTCAGCAAGCTGGAGGAGGTAATCAACCCCTTCTTGATTTTATGGGAGTAATACATGTTATCTATCTTTTTCTTGTATTCTTTTTTTTTCATATTCCCATCTCCAAAATCATTTTAAGGTAATTAGCAATAATACCAAAAAGGAAATTTTAGTTTACAACAGATAGCTATAAGCCATTGTGTTTAGGATATAAATGAAAACACCTAAAAATGTTTTGTCATGGACTTGCTTTTAGAACATTTTATTGCATTGACATTAAAATATCAAGGAAAAATGTCACCCACATTTCCACAATTTGTCACCTGTTTTAATTTTTCTATGCTTGTTCTATGTATATTTTTAAACATTAACCTAGCCATAATCAGAGCATAAATCATTTGTGTTCTTTTTTTCTACTTAATATTATATAATAAACATTCCCCACCACAAAGAGATGCCATGAATTAGACAGACACTTGGGGAAGCCCAGATATGGTTTACCTGCTTTGCAGGAGAGCTGTCATTTGGATTCCTCTTCCATTCACACTGAGAGTTAGGTTTTTACTGAGGGAAGACACAGTTCCTGTTTCATATGGAAATGCAGCCTTTTATCAGTGAGTATGAATTTTGCTGTGGATTATTTCAGAAACCTTTTTTTCTTCCCCATTAAGAAAGTCTATTACTCTTTCTCTCTTTAGTTGCTAAGTTGTGTCCAACTCTTGCGTCCCCATGGACTGCAGCCTGCCAGGCTCCTTTGTCCATGGGATTCTCTAGGCAAGACTACTCGAGTGGGTTGCCATTTCCTTCTCCAGGGGATCTTCCCGACCCAGGGATCAAACCCGGGTCTCCTGCACTGCTGGCAGATTCTTTACCAACTGAGCCTCGAAGTTTGCTGTTTTTTTTTTAAAGCCATGAATGAGTGTTTGATTTTATTGAATGCGTTGTCTGTTTCTATTACATCTTTTCAAATGTTCATAAAAAATTTCTCCCTTTAAACTGAAGAGTATAGTATAACTAACATTTTTCTGGTGTTGAACCATGCTAGCATTACCGGGATAAAACCTAATTGTTTTAAATGGTTTTCATATACATTCTAAAATTAATTAATATTTAAAGAATATTTGTATATTTGTTTATATAGTAGATTACTTTGTTCTAATAGTATCTGCTGAACAGTATGGGAGGTAGAAAGTGATAGGCAGTTCATACTATACAGATGGTTAATTTGGTGGTAGACCAAAAACATACTCAGGTAGATATAAACAACCTGTTTATAATGCAGAATGTTATAAGGGCCCTGAGAAAAACTATGGATATCTTATAAATAGCAAAATGGTTTGGTGTTAATTAGCTAGATAATAATCTCAGTTCTTCTCTCTGTAAAACCATAATACCAATTCACCTTCTTAAATTTCAGGCATACACTTTTGTGCTTGGTTTTCAAAGAATTTTACTTGGCATCTGTTTAATAATTAATCTAGTTATTTCCAATATATTTTAAGTAAACTTTTCTACTGAAGTATTATATGCAGAGATTTACTCAAAGCATAAAAGTATAGCTTGATGAATTTACAAAGTAAACACAGCCATGAAACTGGCACCCATATCAAGAAAGAGAATATTAGTTTTGAATGATTTTTGTACTTCATACAAATGGAATCATAATATTCACTCTTTGGGGTCTTACTTCTTTCATATAATATCAAGTTTCTGAAGTTCATCTATATTATGTATAGTTAGTTCATTCCTATACTTTGTATAGTGTTCCAATTATGGCTACTGCATAGTTTATTCATTTTAGTCCTGATGGACAGTAAACATTTCCACTTTGGGGTTATAAAGTAGTGCTGCGATGAACATTCTTATACCTATGTTTTAGTGACTGTATGTTCATATTTTCAAGAAGTAGGATTACTGGGTTATAGAGTATGCATGCATTCAACTTTAGTAGACAATGTTAAAAACATGGCTAAACCAGTTTATACTTCTGTCAGCGGTGGGTCCACAGAGTTACTAACTTCACCTTGTTCCTTTTGGCCATTCTGAGGGATGTGAAGTGGTATGACCTTTTCATTGTAATTTGCATTTCCTGAATGACTCATGTAGCTGAGCACTTTTTCAAATGATTATTGGCCATTTGGAACTTCTCATTTGTGAAAGTCAAGTCTTGCCCAATTTTCTGATGAATTGTTTGCCTCTTTCTTATTGATTCCCAGGAGTTCTTTCTATATTCTGAATACCAGTCCTTTGTTGGGTATGTGTATTGCAGAGATCTTGTATTCTGTGGCTTGTTTGACTTTTTTCCCGTTTCCAGTAAAACAGACTGTTTTGCATTATCCCAAACCAAGAGGTTCTAAAGCTTAAACTAATCAGACAAACCCCAACTTGACTATGTCAGGGCAAAAGTTGCCACTGTCACTTACTTGTCTTGCCTTACCAGATGCAGAAATAAGAAGTATTCTTATGCTGTTTAATGTTCAGGTTCTGACTAATAAGAAGACAGCCTTCTTTGGCGGCAGTTCTCTTTCTATGATTGATTACCTCATCTGGCCCTGGTTTGAATGGCTAGAAGCCTTGGAGTTAAATGAGTAAGACATTTGAATACTTTTTTGCATAATTTAAGATAATGATAACTGCAATTGTATATACTAACCTTTTTATGGACAAAATTAATGTATCTCATCAAATAGATTAATGGAAGCAGCCAATGGAAGGATACTTTGACTTTCCAGGGCATGTCTTATACCTAAACTCATGATTTTCTCCTATCTCTGGGGGTTGGCAAGGGTGGGGAGTTCTGTGACAGGTAGTAAAATGTTTGAAAAATGATTTATTCCTTCCCTCTCTGTAAAAATCCATAAGGATATACATTTTTTTATAAGGATGTCAGGCAGGATTGTGTGATCAGTGTCACCTCCCATTTACCAGCAAGAGTCCCACACCGTTTTCCAAACTCCATGTTTTGTAGTTTAGCAGCCACCTTAGCTTACTCCTACTTCCTAGAGCTTACAGTTACTATTAGTCACAATCTGACCAGAGAGTAATAAATATGTAATATTCTTGGTCATCTTTCATGTTCTCATTTTAAAAAAATATCAGTCTCTCAGTTTGGACAAGTTCTTAGGTTAACTGAGCAAGTCACTTCACTCTAGTTTTAGATTCCTCTTCCACAAAACAAGACCTCTACAATATCTTTCAAATATCATATTTTACAATTATGCCTATCTTAAAAAAATATTTCTAAAGGACTACTTGAAAAGATTAGAGGGAAACAATATGAAACTGGCAAGTTATAGGAGCATTTGCAATGCCTTCCTACTTAGCCTTGTTCATCCCTTCATTCTTTCCATCTCCCGCAGGTATGTAGACCACACACCAAATCTAAAGCTCTGGATGGCATCCATGAAGAAGGATCCCACAGTATCATCCTTCCCCACTGATGTGAAGACCTTTCAAGGTTTCTTCAACCTCTACATGCAGAACAGCCCCGAGGCCTGTGACTATGGTCTCTGATGGGGACAAGAGTCAGCAATGAAGACATAGCTGATGCTTTGCTTCACTAATATGAATAATACCATGCTTTTATTTTACCATGTGTTCTCATTTCTTACTGGATCACCTTCTCTGATTTGATATCAAATTTGGCTATACTGTGGGCTTTCCTTAAGACCCTCGTACAGAAATATAAACATATTTCCTGTCTCAGAACGCTCAAATGACTCCAAGGGCTATCACAGTCCATGCTGATAGATTGGATGATAAACTGCAGTGCACTTGTTCTTAAGGCTGATCATGAGCTGGTGTCAGACTGTCCCTGTGCTTGCCTGTCATAGCTGGTCTCTTGTTCACATCATTATGATTGCTTAATTAGATCTTCAAATTTTTCTGACCTCACGGCTTTTGCATATGCCTTTCCTCTGCTTGGAATCCTCTTCCTTTTCCTCATCACAAAGCTCATCCTTTAAGTATTGCTATGAATTGAATTTTGTCCCTCAAAATTCATAGGTTGATGTCCTCACTCTCAGTATCTCAGAATGTGACTGTATTTGGAAGTAGGGTCTTTCCAAAATGAAATGAAGTCATTTAATGTGGCCCTACTCGAGTATGATTAGTATCCTAACAAAAGGGGAAATTAAGAGACAGATACACAGAGAAGAACACCATGTGAACAAGAGGACAGTTATTCACAATCTGGAACAGATTCTCCGTCATAGCCCTCAGCAGGACTCAATCCTGCTAACACTTGATCTCATACTTCTGGCCTCCAAAACTGAGACAATAAATTTCTGTGTTTAAGCCACTCAGTTGGTGATACTTTGTTAATGGCAGCCCTAGCAAACTAATACAACCATCAAGAGGTGAGTGGGTAAATAAACTGTGATATATCCATGCCATGGACTAGAAAGGAATCAACAATTAAAACACAGCAGCATGGGAGAATTTTAAAATAATTGTGCTGCATGGAAGAAGCCAGATCCCCCCCAAAAGAGTATATAATGTATGTGTAATTCTTGAAAATGCAAACTAACCCAGGATGTGAATAAGCACATCAGTGATTCCCTGGGAGTAAGTCAATGGTGTATGGGTATGTGTGGTGAGAGCCAATAAGGAAAGACCTGAAGGAGCACAGAAAAAATTTGGAGATGATGGATCTATTCATTATCCCAATTATGGTGATGCTTTTATGGGTAAGTCAAAAGTTATCAAGTTGTGCACATGTATATATATAAAGTTGTTTATATATATATGTGTTATATATATATATATATACACGCAGTGAATTATAACATCAATTATATCTCAGTAAAGCTGTTGTGGGTCTTTTTTTTTTTTTTTTTTGGCCGATTGCGGGATCTTAGTTCCCCAACAGGGATCAAACCCATATCCACTACAGTGGAAACATGGAGTCTTAACAATTAGACCACCAATAAATAGTAAAGTTTTTCTGCATAAACTAAATGTAATTCTCTGGATCAAAATTGTTACATATTTCCATGAGAAATGCTGGTATGTAAGGAGTATTTGCAATCATTCCTGGATTGAGAATATTAAGTATTTCCCCTTAATAAGACAAATTCCCCCCAAAGGAGTTTATATTATGGATAGAACAGTGAATGCATCTTTGAAGGTGACCACATGAAGTGACCCAGCAAAGACCAGATGTATGTCTTATTCACAAGTATTTCCTATACAGCTGGGAAATGCGGTATAATGTTCCACTCTGAACATGTAATTGTTCTAATATCCCTAAAAACAGTTACTTCAAACTGAACTCTAATATGGAGACCATCTTAATTTCAGCATTAGTGGAAATAATGAAAACAATTCATAGGTAAAAGATGAAACTTTATGTACTTATCCATATATTCTTTACCTGACAAAGGAAATATTATAACACATTAATAAGAAGAGAAAGACAGTAATTAATCTGTTAGCTTTTGCCCTGCCAATTTGCTGCCTGAAAGTAGTGATTATATTAAGTCTTATGATTAGGACTTTTATTCCTTCCATTTTTTCCTTGTTACAATTTCTTATGTAGACGTGCTTTGATAAAATCCAGGATAAATTAAAATGTGACCCAATGAAAGGAATTCTGCAGGAGGCTGCAACTTACCAGAGGGCCAGTTAAAATTCTGGGAGGGAGGAGTGACTAGCCAGGTAGGTGCCACAGTAACTGAAGGAAAGTATAGTCCAGGAGAACATTGCCTATAATATATAATATGGTACAAGGATTTAATCATCATGGTCAGGTTAACTATAGTCTTATAATTTAATTTCCCTTATTTAATAATTTTCATATAATTCAAACGTATTTGCCTCCTGCAATGTTTAGGCTGGTTTCTAACACTATTAACAGAAAGCTATTAGCAAAGTTAAGATCTGTGCTTAAAAAGATTTTTGAGTGAACTAAGGCCTTGAGGTCACTGTCTCATGACTTTAGTGCAGAATAAAGCACACTGCACTATGTATGTCCCTGTGTGCCTTGAAATGGCCCAAGAACCATAAAATATTCCATAAACATGTGAAACATGGTAATTAGAGAAGTTATTCAAACAACTTGAAATACACTGGGCAGTTGCAATAATTCTAGCTTACTTCCATGTCTCTGTCCCTTAGGCCGTATCTGGCCCTAAGCTTAATATCTTCCAGTCCTTAGAACAACTATAAAAAGTTCTTTTCTCATTTGTACCTACAGTTGAACAAATGAAACTTGACTTTAAAGTCTTAGCAACAATGTGTTTAAATTCTGCATGGTGAGGATGCTAATATGGGGAAGTGTCTGCTTCTGCCTTCTTGTGTGTGAGGCTTTAGTTTCCCTTCCTTTAGCTGCTGTTCTTCACTCTGGTTCCATAAACACAAGTTTTGCCTTCTCCTATGTCTGTCTTCTTTACATTCAATTCTCTATTGCTCATTCTACATATTTTTAACGGCCCTGTTTCTGCATTTTTACACTTTTCACTTTAACTGAACTTACTATTCCACTAAGCTTTATCATTTATTGGGTTTATTTAGCATAGTCTGGTCAATAAAAACAGCTTGCATGTTCTGAGCATCCAATGCAAAAATAAATATAATTTCTTGAGGGACAGAGGCTTTAATGGAATAATTTTCTATCCTTGCTAGACAGACACTTCCTCCCATAATTGAAGATTATTAATTTTATATTTTCTTTACATTTATTTTAAATTTACAAAACACAAGACTTTTGAAGAAAACACACACACACACACACTAACCATTCAGAGAAGAAAAACAAATGCTCCTTAATTATACTACAAAATTTGATAAATTTGTTGTTGGTGTTTTCTTGTGTTTTTACTTATAAAAGCACATTTTTTTGTTAAATATAACTTTTCTTTTTATAGCTATAGTAATCATGGATTAAATAAATAGCCTACATAATAATTCATTTTAGAAATGGAACTTGGATCATACATTCCATGACTTCTATTGAGGTTTTTTTTGCTTGTTTACCTTGAGCATTTTATCATTAATAATTTTTCAAAAATGTGAATTTTAACATTTCCATAGTACCTCTTTATGGGATGTTTAACTTATTTAACCATACACAAATTACTGGAAATTTAGGTTGCTTCCAATCTTCTGCTATTATGACAGTGCTTTTAATTCATTTGCATGCAAATGTGTGGCCATATTTCTGATTATTTCCTTTAAACTGAATTCTAGTTCTTGAAGTGGATATAGAGTAGATATTTACTTCTCAGGAAGCTTGTATGAATTCATATTCCCACCATTAGAAAAAGAGTGCTAACCAGTTTCACTGCACTCTGTGGTAGCAAATATGAGCTTTAAAAGAATTGTGACTTTGATAAGTAGAAAAATCTCACCTTTGTTTAAATGACACTTTATAAAGTGAATATTCAAATGAAACAATTTTTATGTTTTTGGTCATTAGCAGTTTTGCGGTTTGGGTGAGTTCCTATCCATTGTTCTAATGAGATATCTTTTTTATTTCATAAATGGTCTGAAAATATTTTGCCATATTTGTTCCAAATACTTGCTTCAGTTTATTATTTGCTTTTTAACTTTTCATGGCACTTTCAATATTCATAGGTTTAAAATTTGTATATAATGAAATACGTCAATCTTTTCTATTTTCACTTTTTTCCTTTGTGCAAAAAGTCCTTCCTCATCCTTAAATTATTTCAATTTTCTACCACAGTTTCATCTATTTTTCTAGGTTTGTTGTTTATATTCTCTCTTACTTTTGTTTGATTTATGTTTTGATATACAGTATAACATAAGGACTTGATATTTTGTTCTAATACTTTTCTTAACACAATTGTTTAATAATTCATATCATCTACTGTGTATGGGTATCTTTCTGGGAGTGTCTTCATCATATACTTAGCTTCATGTATTCCAGAACCTGTCCTCACTCTTCAACTCTTTCACTGATCAAGTGACTCCTGAACCAAGCCCACACCCTATATGACGACAGCACCATAATGCTAAGGAGGGCCTTCTGCCTTGTCATATTCTTTCAAATTATCCCCACTCTCTACTTTCTGTTCTTCTAGATGAACCTTGGAATCATTCATTTAAGTACTCCTGGTCTCTAAAACATTTGATAAAACTATGAATTTCTTTCTGTAAAGAATATCAGAACTACATGTATGATAACCAGACTTTCCAGGCAGGAGTATGTCTCTATATGTTTAAATATTATGTCAGTGATCTTTGTAATTTTCTTCATTAAGGTCAGTCCTAAGTATTTAAATCTTCTAATTGCAAGGATATTTATTTTGAAACCAGATCTTACTGAGCATTCTTTTATCAGTCCTAGTAGATTATTGTATTATCCATTATCTCTTTTTCCCCTAGCTATAAGTTTTATATGTTCATATTTTGTTGTATTCACTAGAACTTCTAAGTTAATATTAAGTAACAGTAGTAACATTGGGTATCGTTGATGACTTAATCCTAATTTTATTGTGAATTCCTTTAGAGTTTAATTATTCAACATGAATGTTGGCTATTAGTTTGAATTA